TTAACTTCACCCGCACAGGTACTGTGGCAATGGTTGGCCCTGCGATGCGTTCGATATCCGGCACAGGGGCCTGTCGGCCACTGACGGTAGCTCCGTACTTTACATCGTCTGTGTTTGTGAGCGATGCTAGCAGTATCGCGAGTGCAGACCGCACCACCGAAGATGGAGTAGTGCCGGTACGGGGCCACTGCACCCCACTAATAACATGGTTGAAATCGAGCTTTTTCCTTGAAGAATATTTAGAAGGCGGAAAGACAGTTGCATCGGTCCCAATGAGCTGATCGCGCCAAAACTTCCTGGCCTTTGCGGTGTCCATGGCCATTACATGCTTGACAAATGGTTGGAACGAAAGGGGCGCTGAGAAAGCTTTAGTCGCCCGATATGCCATTTCAAGCGTATCCAAAATGAGCATTGTGGTCCATCCATCGTAGATCGAGTGATGTATTTCCAAAGATAGACGGGGGGTTTCATTTACAATTAGCCCAGCCCGACACAGTGGTCTCCCTAAATATGAAGTCTGAGAGCTGGTGGTCATAATGTCGCGGATATACTCATACCGAAGTAATGTCACTGGGGTCTTCACGACAACCTGAACGAGACCTTCTCCCGGTAGCTCGACAATCCTAGTGCGCAGAATAGGTGTTGCTTCAACGGTGTTTTTCCAGGCCCTCTCCAGCTGCCTCATATCAGTGGCTTCTGGCAGGTCAAAACCGGTGCGTGATGTATAGTCGGCGCTAACATCTCTCGCACTGATGGCTAACATCCCTTGCTGTAGTGCAGTACATGGATAAATATCCTCAATCTCGCCTGCCCCTACTCCACACAGCGTGGCAGCCGTTTCACACAAGCCTTTCTTGCTTCTCTTCCCGGTCAGCAGGGAGAACGGGACCACAACCTCGGCCTGCACAACATTTTCGACTTTGGTTGCTAATTCGTTTAGAATTGGAAATGTGAACACGTCTGCAACTGTTAAAGAAAGGCCTTCCTTCCGCGCTTGTGCAACCAGATACATGGCGGTAATCGAGTCTCCACCCAGGCGCAGAAAGCTATCACCTGTGCTGATTCGATTGACGTCCAGCTCTAAAACCTGGGCCCAGATGTGTCGCAGCTGGCTTTCCGCATCAGTTGTCGGCTCGCGATACTCAACAGGGGATACTATGGTTGATTGGAGCTCGACAATTTGCTTCCAGTCCAAAGCATTGCCCATTTCCCGTAGTCGTCGTCTGTCAGCCTTGCCAGTTGGGGCCACTGGGATGACATTGACCGGGAGGTACACTGTAGGTATCATAAAGGAAGGTAAAATCTCACGTAATTTTCCTTCCAGGCTGTCCACCTGGCGCTTGACCTGTTCTCTATTATCTGATTGAGCCTGAACAAACAAAGCTAATGATAACGTGTCGGACCCACGCGGCATAACCACGTCTGCAATCACGGAGAGATCTTCGTCTAGACAGGCGCGGACGTGATGCTCAACATCACCAATTTCCACTCTTTGACCTCGAATTTTAAGTTGTGCGGCATCTTTGCGACCCATGAACATTAGCCGTCCGTCTGGTTTATATTTGACCAAATCCCCTGTTCTGTAAAGTCTGCCAGGTCGACCAGGAACATTGTTATGACCTGCCAGGAGCCATGGAGGGTCATTGATAAATGCATCAGCACTCTTTTTAGGGTCAGATAGATACCCCTGACCCACTAAAGGCCCTTCTAGGAACAGCTCTCCTGTCGCCCCTGGGGCGGCCAATTTGTTGCTGTCATTGACATCGACAATCCATGTGCAGTGACCAACTCCCCTGCCGATATCTGGGCGACCTTCGAGATGTGAACCAAGCAGAGAAAAGGCACATTTAAATGTACATTCTGTTGGGCCATAGGTATTTAGCAATTTTACTTTGTCAGCCCAGCGAGTGATGTTGTCTCGGTACGGCATCTCTCCACTCAACAACACCGTTTCGAGCGTAGGTGGAATGGGATTTATGGTCCGTAAAACAGTAGGCGTCACATTAATTAATGTGGCCCTAAATGAAGTAATGGCGGCGGACAGATCATTCAGCATATCTTTCTCGTTCGCAATGCAAATGCATCCTCCCGCGCAGAGGGTGTGCAGGAAGTTACTCCATGCGACGTCGAATGAATAGGGGGCAAAGTCAAAAACCCGCGATCTTGAATCAAAACCCAACTTCTTGCCTTGGTGATGGACGGCACTACGCACGTTCGCATGGCTGATGCATGCACCCTTGGGTTGACCGGTTGTTCCTCTGTCCGGGTTAGTGTTTCTTCTTTCTGGCGCATAATTTGGAAATTACATACGATGTAAAGGAGATATAAACTATATCAGATGGGCAAGCGACCGGAAGTCCGTCAGTTAGCTCCCCAGTCTCGTTGTCAAAAATGGCATCATCCAGCTGCAGGATGACAGCGTCCGCCAGTCCAGATGCTCGGGTGGTATGCACTGGTGACGAGATGATCACTTTCGGTTTTGTTTGTTGCACAATCGATCGCAACCTCGAATCTGGCTGTGTGGCATCCAGCGCAACGGCAGCACAACCTGCCTGGATGATGGCCAACATGGCCACGCAGGTCCATCGCGTCTTGGAAAATAGCAAGGGAATGCTGGACTGGCGGGGAATCTGCAAGGCAATCAGGCGTTGGGCCACCCGGCGAGAAAGCGCAGTAAGTTGAGAATACGTTAAATCGCCATCCCAGGCGCATACAGCCAAGGCATCCGGATGATGGACGGCAATAGTTGCAATCAGATCATGCACGCAGCCCGGGACAGTCTCCGGGACTTCAGCATTCCAGCTCCAAATTTGATCCAGACCCAGGGTATGGGACATCATGGGCGAAATGGGATTGTTAGCTGCAGGTGATAGAGGGAATTGGTGAAGGATTCCCGTGCGATTAACTACTGCAGAAGAAAAAGAAACCCTAGATTCCCAAGGTGAAGAGTTCCTGACAAGACCCATCGAGGCCGAAAATTACGTGTCAGTTTCACATACCATCAGCCACCAAAAAATGAAAAAAAAAAAAAAAAAAAATCACTTACATTGATTGACGCATGCAGAAGCAACCTATAACAGGTTTAGAATGGCAATCTTCACCACCTGCATATTTTATTAATAACCAAGCATGGCATTTGGCACGGAACTATAGCCTATCCCCGGTCCGGTATATATGACAACAAGTCCGGACTCTCAGTCAACCATCCAGCAAGCAATCAATCACTCAATCGTCCACATAACACCTCCTCCATGTTTCCCTCTTTGGATTTCTCTCGTTTCCATGATCTCTCTCAGCGAGAGAAATTCTGTCGTCAATTCGTCTCGACATTGAAGGAATATGGATTTGTGAAACTGATTAATCATGGCATTCCGTTTGCTCAGATTGACCTGGCATTTGCAGCAGTTTGTTTCCGCTCTCCAATCCACCGATGCGTACAGTATTTCCTTACTTGATAATAGGCACGCCACTTCTTCCAATTACCCTTGGAACAAAAGTTGAAATCACCTCACCCCCCCACGGCGCATCCCCATCGAGGCTTCAGTCCGGTCGGGCTGGAGAACATTGGAGCTGTCTCCGGCTATGGCAGCACAACCGAATCACCTTACCTCCGAGACATGAAGGTGATTGTGTCTCACCTCGAAGGGAATATTTTATTCTAACCCCTCGCTAGGAATCCTACGACATTGGATCCGAATGTGATCCACTCTACAAGAACATCTGGCCCCCTGCGGGAGTGGACGATGCCTTCCAACCCACCTTCATTTCATTCTTCGAAGCCGGCTATCGCACCGAATTAACCATCCTCAAGGCTCTGTCGATCGGGCTAGGTCTACCTGAGCAAACACTTGGACAGCTTCACGCAGAGCAGACCAATGAGCTGCGCATCACGCACTATCCTGCAGTCTCCCGAGGGGATTTTGCGCATTCGACACGCATCGCTGCGCACACCGACTTTGGGACAATCACCCTGTTATTCCAAGATGCAGTTGGAGGATTACGTAAGTTCCATTTTTTTTCTTTTGCCTTGCCTTTTTCTCCAATTCAGTTCGCTCAATGGTCGGGTTTCGTGATAAAGTTGTGCTAATGCAGGTGACAGAAATGGAGGTTCCACCGCACAGTGGGCAGTTCGCGGACATCGAGAGTGGGGGGCCATACGAGTGTATTTTAAATGTGGGGGATTGCCTGCAGAAGTGGACTGGGTTGCATAGTGCGCGCCATCGAGTCCATCTTCCCAGCGAAGAGCAATTCGACGGGATGGTGCCGGAGCGCTTCTCCATCGCGTACTTTGCGAAGCCTGACCGTGCTGCCATCCTCCAACCATTACTGGAAGGAATTTCAGATGAGAAATATCTGACGGCCAATGAATTTCAACACATGCGGATTGCGGGAACATACTGACGATAGATTAATTATGTTGGGTGATCATCGATCCTCTCATTGTATGTATTGTGTAAGGTCCGTGTATTGGATGGAGTCTGTCAGGAAAAGAGAAACAGTGTCATCGAACAATATTCCGTGTTGTTACATACCAAATACCATACCTTAGGTACAATAGGAGGTAAGTACTACTAGTAGTAGTAAGTAGTAGAGGTTGAGAGGGTAACGATGGTGAGGATTGGCCGTAGTTATGCAGAAGCTCATCACATTCCATACTACTACTAGTAGTACTAAGTTCAGCCAGCCTCTGGTTCAAACCGGGTTCAGCGAGCGGTAAACCAATATGAAATATGTTCCAGGGTGTGTGGTGTATCAAGAGTAACAGTAGTAGTCCTTACTCCGGCCCTGTTATTGCGAACGGAATTCAAGTTGTTGTGGGTCTGTCAAATTGGACATTCCACCATATCATATTCCCTTACATACATGGCGCCAGCCACATTACAGAGTAATACAGTATGAAGTATGACAATTTGGAAACAAACAGAAATAAACCCTTTGCTATTACCATTCGAAAAGCAGACTCACTTATCATCTCGATGTTCCAATTTTACCCTCCAACAATGGAATATCCCACTTGGGCATTGACTGTGACCAAATTTGACTATAAATCAGTTGTCGGTCTTTTGTTGACCTTTATCGTTGCTGTTGTCACGACCAAAATCCTACACGTTTTTACGAAGCGCTGCCCTGGCATTCCCTCCGTTCCTTTTCACATCTCGGTTTATGATGCCTATCGCCGCGTGTCTGAAATTGGTTTCCATAACACTCGTCTTCGACCCGTGCTAGAAACCCACGGCGCCGTCAATATCTGGAACTCAGGTCAATGGGTGGTTCTAGTGACTAAACCAGAGTATGTGGTCCGTATTCTACGCAATGAACGCGTTGTGGCCAAAGGTGGCTTCTATGGGAAAGTTCCTCATAGTACATTAGCGGGTCTTTTTGGCGAGAACATCATTGACTCACATGGAGAGATTTGGAAACAGTTCACCGGGATCATGAAGCCGGGTATTCAGCGCACTCATAGTATCTCCTCTCTCAAGATCGCTTCGTCTAAGCTTATAGCGACATTTAAACGAGAGCAACAGCAGGCGCCATCCGGTCGCGGGGTTATTATCAATGATATAATTGAACGGTGGGCGATTGACGTGTTTGGGGAAAGCTTTTTTGACGTTGATTTTGGCGCCTTAAATGGCGGCACTGTTCGGGCTCAAGATGCTCTTTTGGCCATCCTCTGGAACCTGGGGGGGCATCTCATCCACCTTTTCCCGGTGTTTGAAAGGATTGGCTGGCCTCTACGACCAACAAGACCCTATTGTTTTTCCATGATCCGAGAGCTTGAGGAGGCACTGATCGACGTAACCGAGAAACTCAAATACACCGAAACACTGCCGGGTCGATCCGAAAAGCTAATCTATCGGTTGAAGCGAGCCCGCGATAATGGGCTCATGTCGGACTTCCATTATCGCTCGAACCTTAAAATGTTGTTCTTCGCTGGCCACGAAAACGTCAAGTTTGCATTTATAGCAACCCTGTGGGAGCTTTCTCAAAACCCTCAAATACAAGAAAAGTTATACCGGGAAATTGCAGCACACAGCCCTTCTTCGTCCGACGAGGATGACCTCAAGAACTTGTCCTATCTCACCGCTGTACTCTCCGAAACCTTGCGCCTCTACCCCCCAGTCAGCCAGTTAATCAATCGCAAAACCTTGGAACCAGTTTACCTAGGAAATGGCATAACCATTCCTGAAGGTACATGGGTGGGATGGACGGCATATGGCGTCCATACCGATCCGAATACCTGGGGACCTACCGCCCACGAGTACCAACCGGAGCGATGGGGGGATGATGTCCATGCCATCCAACGAGCCATTAGCCAGCAACAGGTTCGAGGGAGTTATATTCCATTCAACGCTTGGACTCGTAGTTGTATTGGGTCTGAGTTTGCATTGTTACAACTCCGAGTGACTCTCTATGAAATCGTCCGTCATTTCGAAATCACCAATGCCCCAGATTATTATTATTCGATCAAGAAGGCAAGTTTCAACCCGCAGACTTGCAGTAAAATGTATTGATATAATTACTGACCCGAAAGCAGAACGCTTCTCTCGAGCCCTATAATTGTCGATTGATTTTCAAGGATAGAATATAGCTTAGAGACTTTTCTCATCTCTTACCACTGATCAAGTTACTCCCAAGGATGTAGTCCATGTTCATTTGTCTGGCATATGAAGAACAAACAACACCGCTGTGCCAATTTGGTAGAGGACACCAACTTAGCTCTGTGCTGTCATTCTAGCTGTGATTTCACTGGAACTGTAGAGTAAAACCTGCGGCACGCTGCCACACTTGGCAATAAATGCACTGCACATTGCGTCCGCTTCAACCATGGGTTCGCATCACCCCGTTCCGCTCGCCGTGTTTTCGGCGCTGATGATGGCTCTCGTCAATCTGCTAGCACAATTCCTTCTACAGCATCCTGTGAAGGGGTACAGGCTTGCTTGCCTAAATACACCAGGCCAGCGAGTTCTTCGCACGTGGATGCTTGGTACACCGATGTAGTGACATGCTATCAAACTTACGCGCAGTAAACCCAGTCTGACCCCAGGGTATATGAATCATATGTAATATCGGGAATTGGGGGATAGCGTGATGGATCCTAGCTGGCACAATACAATGATCACACTCCATACTTGTTCCCAATTCTGGATGGCTTCCTGGGCCTGGACTTTGGAGCATTGATGGTGGGCATTGGGCATTCTGTAAGTGACGGGTAATTTGCTGTACTCGAGTTTCAATCTTGCATTACTATTCGAGATTTATAATTGGGTAATCTATGGATAGGACAAACAATTCATCTTCAATACTCATGGTGATTGTGTAAATGATAGAATTGAGTCGATAAATGTATATATTCATGTATACTTATTAATACACCCAGTTTGGAATGAGGATCTATAGCTTAGTATTTTAGATACTCGGAATATTACAATCTTATACTATTAATAGTAAATAATAATTATTAAACTACTGATAGCTATTACTCTGTTGTTAGATTTATGGAAGCGTTGCGTAGGCCAGATCCAGATTGCATCACTCTTGTTTTGAAACCTCGATGTCTTGGGGCCTTCACGGCCGGTCTAATCCACACATCAATGGATACCATGATCTGAATTTCAAATTCATATATCCATTTGTATTACTAGTGTCCTCCATCAATCTTCAATTGAAGACCTTATTGACCCATTATTGTATAGCTATTATCGTAAATGACACCTAATTTAGGAAATAAAGTGCTGGAAAGGATCTGTTATGTATATTACTATATCCAACCCTAGAGGTAATACGTCTAAAGCTAACCATTCGTACTATTTAAAGAATCCACAATGAAAAGACACAATTGAGGGACGGGTTGAACCAACTATTATTATGAATACAGAATACACGAATATAGAAAGATAGTTAAGAAAGGCCGGGTTGTATCAGAACTTAATACTAAGTCGATAGATATTACGCAATGTCGACAATTCTGATCTTGGCAAATATCTTCAATGCTTCCACATTTTCTCCATTATCAGATTTGCAAGATATGACAGTATCTGCTTTCACGTCCATGCTCGAAAGGTCGTCTGGAAAGACTTTTGGGTCCAGGCGATACCCATTTATCTGGATATCCTTAGGCGTATAAGGGCAATGAGAAGGAAGGTTGCCATATTGAGCAAGGTCCGTGAGGATAATTTGGTTTTGTTCCACAAAATCACAAAGACTCACAGCCTGACGCTCATAAAACTCTAGATATTCACCATTTCTAAGTCTATAGGCTTTGAAACGCACATTGCATAGATCATCGAGATTTTGACGTATCTCAAAGCGGACATTGGCAACAAGCTGATCGTCGTCGTTCCTGTATAATCATTAGCTCAAGATTCATGTATATCCGATTTGTTGCAAACTCACATTTCTAGTTCACCATATGCGTTATCAAAATAATCCGAATGTCCAAAGATTCTCAGATCCTCCAATTGCATGTCAAATTGACGAGCCTGTCCCCAAGCAAGATGCGTGAAAAGGTGTGAAAGCCACAGAAGCGAAGCTGTAGTGAAGAACATATTCTTGATGATGCAAAGACCGAAGGTTGATGAAATATGTTGGAAAAACCGACAGTCTTTTTCTTTAGAGGGTAAGGGATTGAGGCAGCATCTAGAACTGAAGACGAGGGAGTGAGGTATATATACACTCTCAGACGAGGATCTATGGATAAGGAGAAAGTCCGACATAGTGCTACAGAATCAAATAAGTCTAGCCAAGTATCTTACTTGTAAGAGACTAGGAGACCTATCATCTCTAACTAACCTCTAGACAAGAGCCGCCATGATATCAGAGCTGAAAGATCTACGAAGACTCCGCTTTCAAGTATAAAGTTATCTTAGCCACCAATGATTTTGTCAGTTAAAGTAATGGTGGGAGAGGGTCAATGCAAAGTATTTATGTATAATTCTGGACTATCGATTTCTCATTTTACGTATAAGGGTATGATCGCCAATTTTGATCACACCCGGGGACGGATCTGGATTTCCGGGAGCTCAAAGTGCCTCCGAGGGGTCGAAAGCTTGCCACCTCAATCCGTGCGCCTTCCATAGCCCAGTTACTGGGACATGGAGTGAATATAAACCCCATGAATTGATATTCAGACTAATTATTCAACATATCATGGTATTGTAGTATTTGCTTACATTATAATCTTATTATTGCGCCCTTGGGTGACTTACAACCAACACAACAGAAATAGTAAACATACGTATTGGGCATAGTCATAGATCAGATTATATGCATACAGCTACTAGTAGCTCCTTGTAAATGCAGGAGATGGCACAGTGTAGCACGATCGACAGCACATTATTGGCTATCCCTACTTTCAGCTCTGTCTCGAAGAGCCAGATGGAATTCTCTTGTGTAAATACCATGAGTAGATAAAGGAAAAGGTGCACCAAGAGACCTAAGCATAGCGGCAGTTAGTATAACTATCCTATGAGATATTTTCAGCGTATATCAATTTCAGTGATGGGCGATTACGGGAGAAGGTACTTCTCCATCACTTCACTCAAGCGCGCGCGCTTCACAGAAAGCCACAGAAAGAATCAAGAAGCTCCAGGCTAAATGGAGCTAGCTCATGCAAAAGCAGTTGGAATAACTCCACCCGAGCGCAGAACTTCATATGAAACGTATTTAAATGGAGCATTGAGGACCAAGAGTCCCCTATCCATTACAAAATACGAGATTTGAGAGCTGTGTGATATCTATCGCCCGTCTTTCATCGATTGGAACCTGGTAGAGCATGTACAATAGTTTGTACGCGCATATCACACGCAGCTCCTCCAATCCGCTCCGTCTCGCAAAATCATGGGGTCGAACAGGAGTAAGGGCTCGCTATAGTCCCATCCATGGCGGTACTGGCTTTCGCAATAACACAAAATGTAAACACGCCAACAATAAGCACAAGATTAAAGCTGGTAAATCCTCTGGGGGCTTGGTGACATGGAAGCGTTGTCAGGTTCCTGGAGGCCGTTAGGGGGTATACTACAGAATATCAATAAATGCACAGATCATCCAGGTACGGAAGTCAGACTGGTGGGTAGTTCATTTCCTGTAGAGAGTCAACCGTCAAAGTCCGGTCGTATCCTAGTCTTAGATTGCCTTAAGTAATATTGTTCATCCATGGACCTATTCGGGTTTCTATTGCAGATGACTCGTCCCGCTGGTTGAAGTTATCAATCGGAACCATTGCGGTTGGAGATTTATCCTTCTTCCCTGCCATTGTCACTCTCCGAAGCTCCCCCTGATTCATCGCTGTAATCGCACCCATCCAGCCAGTCATCATTGTAAATTACTTCGGGAGGCATTCCTTCGTGATTGGCTCGCCGAAATACTTCTATTGACGCCTCTCTAGAAGCCGTATCATCGAGTCCCAAAATAATAGCATGAATGTTTGGGTTTATTGTGGGCGATTTGAACCTTAGCTCATCATAAACTGGCCCACTTTAAGGAATTCCCTGATCTTATATCTCTGAGCTATCGCACTGCCAACACGTCGTGATAAATATGAGACCAAACGGGCTCCGTTAAAGTCCGTCGTGATTATTAGTTAGCATAGGCAGTCTTCGATATTCTTGTTGTGTAGATATACATATGCAGATGTATTACAAATTGATAATATATCTAATATTAATCGTGTGTTATAAGAGATGATCCAGTATCTTTAGTATAAAACAGCAAAAAGAGCGGGGCGCGGG